GTGCTAGCAGATTGTCTTGCCAGTTGGAATTCCCTAGGGCACTGGGGGAAATGCTGAGGAACAGGGGCTTCTGGATCCAGGTCTGCCACTAGTTTTGCTGGTTGTCTGAGTATTTGGAGCTGCAGCCTTACAGCATCATTTCCCAAGTGCAGCGTGGAGGAGAGCAGAACACGTGTGAGTGTGTTCACATCTGGCATTAACATATAAATTGGAGGCATATAAAGTTTCTTCCCATACAACTAAATTAAAAACCTGTGGCAGAAGGTAAACTGACAAGTGCAAAACTGCTTGGGTGGGAAATTCTAAATGGTTACAAATGTCTCCTGAAAGCTGCTTCTGGAGTAACGTTACTGAGCATGACTGTCTCCATGCACGTTGCCCAACAGTGTCCTATAGCCATGACTGGTACAACTTCTTAGAGGTAATGCCCTGTTCTGGTCAGCAAGACAACACTATAGAGCATGGGGCAGAGCTGAGGCTACAGGGCTGAGTACAATGTACGTGTACAATAAGCGCATCTCAGCTCTTGCTGGAGATGAGGACTGGAGAGCCAGAGTTCAGCCCTGCTCTGCTGGGTAAAGTGGTGCATGCTGATAGCTATTGACTTGCAGACACATTATCTCTGTGTTGGTAACGTGTTTCTAATTTGAATTTGTAGCTCATGGGGTGTCTCAGCGGGGGTAATGCACTAGGCTCTCCTCTCTGGAGACCTTGTTCTGACTTAATTTGGTGTACTTATATTTCTACTGGAACAGGACTTGGCCTATATTACACAGCTCTTTCTGTGTGAGCCAGGTCCACAGTAATGCTGATGGTTATCTGAGCTGCTGTCCTTAAATCATTTGGGACTATGAGCTCTTATGTTTTTGGTCATACAGACCGTGAAGGAACATGGAAAAAGAAGTAGAGAGGAGGCTGACCTCCAAGGCACTACCTGCTAACAGCATTGCTTCAAAGCAATAGGAGCTGGAGTGCACACGCTTCTGCAACGTTAGGTCTCCTGTGAGGTGTAAACACCTCTCTTGCTCCAGATCCCATGGGGGAAACCAACACTGATTGCTGATACAGTAAATGAGAAGTACGTGCAGGATGTTGTGAACTACAGGTAAGCTCAAAGTAGAACCGTGTGCTGGGCCGCATCAAAATGAGCGCATCCAGGAGGTTGATTGAGGGGATTCTCCCCATCTGCTCTACTAAGACATCCCTTGCTTCCTGCGTCCAGCTCTTGGGCCCCACAGAAGGGATGTGGAACTGTTGGGTGAGTCTAGAGGAGGGCAATAAAGATGCTGCAAGGGCTGGAGCAGCTCTGCTCTGGAGCCAGGCTGAGAGAGCTGGGCTGGGGCAGCCTGGAGAAGAGAAGGCTCCTGAAGGGGAGACCTGAGAGCAGCTCCAGTGCCTAAAGGGGCTGCAGGAAAGCTGGAGAGGGGCTTGGGACAAGGGCCTGTAGGGACAGGGCAAGGGGAATGGCTTGAACCTGCCCGAGGGGAGACTGAGCTGAGCTCTTAGGCAGAAGCTCTTCCCTGTGAGGGTGCTGAGGCGCTGGCACAGGGTGCCCAGAGAAGCTGTGGCTGCCCCATCCCTGGCAGTGCTCAAGGCCAGGTTGGACACAGGGGCTTGGAGCAAGCTGCTCCAGTGGAAGGGGTCCCTGCCCGTGGCAGGGGTTGGAGCTGGAGGAGCTTTGAGGTCCCTTCAACACAAACCAGGCTGTGATTCTATAACTGCTGTAGCAGTATGAGGCCATCATGGGCTCTCTAGCGCTTACACTTCTCTGCTTGGGCAGGGGGAAGCTTGACCAGTCTGTGTCCAGGTTTAGGTTCCTGTTTAGACTGAAATTTGGTTGCAACTTATCTGGTGTTCAAAGAGAAATGCAACTGCTGTCATAATGACCACACTATTTCCTTCTTGCTGCTGGCCTCTATTAGCCCTTGTCCATGCTGTGTTACTGCTCAAGTGTTACATCTCTATTAATATCTTTGCTGATTGCATTAGCCACCCTGCCGTTTATAGTCCGTATGTTGCAAATACAGTCCTACATGAAGGCACTTAGAAAGATGTGTTATGGCTGCAGAGACCCAAGTGATCAATAGCTTTTAGATTACTGTGTCACTAAACAGCAGGCTGAGACACAGAGAGGCACAGTTACTTTAGGGATGAGAGAGTTTCAGAAAATAAATCAATAGTGGATACAGGCTGATTGGTTTCCAGTTCAAATAATTCCAAGAAACACGGAGCCCAGGGGAAAGCATGCCATTCATACTTGGAAATAAACAACACATGCTTGCTTTCATTTATGTATTTGGGTCAGTACTCTTGGAAATGGAGAGGGAGCCATTGGGCAGGGTATTAGACTGGAAATGGGGAACTTGGGTGCTGCTTTGAGTGCCCCCGGAGAGCCCTTCTCCATGTCATCTCCAGGTCCCCTTTGGAGCCTTTGCTCTGGCCCTGCACACACAAAACCCTCAGTGCACAGGGTGTGATTCCCAGTTGGAGCCCTTTTGGGGCTAACAGAAGTGCAAGCAGTAACAAACACTCAGGAAGGTGATCTTGCTTTCCAAGTGCCTTCCTTCTGAATGCTCAAGTGGCCGTGGGCTAAATGATGATTAGTAGCTGTCAGCGTTCTGGATGGCTTATAGACAGGTAGGACATGAAGCCTCCAGGGAAGCGAACGCAGCCACTTCTCCAGGAGGTTGCTGTGACCTCTTGCATGTGAAGGGGTATTTATTGATGTTAACAGCTTGGTGATGATGCACTGTTATCTGCTGCCTCTGGGACACTGAATGAAGGCATTTTGCTGGAGTGCTGGGTTTATACTGCCTGGTGCACTAAACCCCTGCTTTTACCTTGGGATGGGCTGCCAAGCTGGGAAGTCTTGGGAAGCTGTCACTGGAGAGGTACAAGTTATACAGGAAGTTTCCCGGAACTGAGTAGCACAGCTCAGCAGCCGAGGGCTGACTCCTGTTCATGCAGTGGTGGCTGAGAAGGGCCTGCAACATCCTGCCTTAAGGGGACCGGTTGGAAGCACTTATTTGAAGGGAGGAGTGAGAGATACCTGATTTTGGCTTTTTGGATGGTCTTGTTTCCCTTGTCCACACAGAAGGAAGCTGGCTGCTCCCATCTGACTTGTGTTTCCTCTTAGAAAAGGTGGTTTCATGATGGTGAGGGGTATTACTTGGGTCTAATGTTTGGGAGACCTGGAGTTAAGTCCTTTTCTTGGCCTGGATCTGTGTGTGATATCCAACTATGTCACCTGGCCTGGCTGTGCTCTCTGTGCAAACCAGAGAAAATAGTGTTTCCCTGCCTCAAAAGAATGAAGGATAACTATTTTGAGGCCCTGAGATAAGGGAAGCTGCATAAGCATCTCAGACAAGTAGATCTGCTCCCACTGAATTCAGTGGCAGAACTTTTAATGTGAGCAAGATCCGGGCCCCATCTGATAAAGAATTTCATCTGGATTGCATATGGGGGCAGGCATTAAAGGACCCATCTAAGGATCTCCCCTCTGGAGTACATCTATAAAAGACCCTCTGTAGTTGTGTTCAAAGCTCACAGTAATGCTAGTCTCCTCAGGACAATTCACTTAGATCATTCAGAAACTCTTTCTTGTCTAAGCCCTGATGCTCTCCCCCAGTGGAAGAATGTGGTTGAAACTCCCATGCAGGGAAGACTGGAGATTTGTTTGCTGTTTGAACCCCAAACATTAACAAATTGGACACACGTGCTTTGAGACTAGAGCCTGCTCTTATTTAAGCCAACGCCAAACTCTCCTTGATCCCAGCAGGATCAAGCTCTTGAATATTGCTTGTACCTTTTTAGACTATCTGCCTCTAAATGAGCCAGACAGTGACAAACTCATTCTGGATTTATCCTCCTTGACTGGTTTCAGACTCTCCCTCTTGGGACAGGAGAGTTCATAGTCTAATTGCTGAATGAAAGACCGAGGGCAGGTATCATTGTGCCTTCTGTTTCACTGTTTAGCATGTGCAAGTCAATGCTGTGACTTAGCATTTTGTAGTGCTTAAGCATCTTTAATGCTCTTGTGAGACTTGTTCCAGCTAGCGTAGCGCTTCTTGCTCACGCATGAGATTTTTCTCCCTCTTCATGCTATAGCACTGACAGGTGAGTATTATATGTGTAGAAAGCTATTCAGCAGAAACATATGCCTTGAATATGTTAAGATTCCTTGTAAGTCACTTGATCAATGTGCAGTATTTGTGCCCTCTCTGTAACTTTGCCCTGAATTCATATTCATCAACAGAGGTTGCTCTGTACTTAATGGGACGCTTGGGCACTGAGTGAAGGGAAGGGACAATACGCAAACAGGGTGAAGAATGAGGACAAATGTAGATGAACTTCCTCAAACAGGCACAAAATGCTCATTCCTGAATAAAAAATGTGAAAAGGTCAAGTGCCCCCAGAGGTTTCTATTGTGACAGGCACTTAACCCCTTCACTCCTGGTTATCTGCTTCAGCTGCTGGGCCACTCAGTGCACAAGTGCCATTAGCATCAGCGGAATGTGGCGCAGGATACGCCTGGGTGAGACCAACCTCCCTTCCAGGCCCTGTGTTTGCAGGAAATAATCCTTGTGGACACTGACCCTGTCAGTAGCTGTGTCTAGAGATAATTATTTCCTAACCTGTAACCTTTTCATGGTCAATTGCTCCAGTATATTAGACAGAAATGTGATTTCCTTCTATCTTCAGACACACACAAGTTCTTGTCCTTCCCTGCTTTCAGGGCTTAACTTAGCAAGTGCACAGGCAACCCAGAGCTCTCCAGCACACATTGTTTTGATTCTGCTTAAAAGAAAAAGAGGTTTGCTGCTCTTCCTTGCCATTGAGCAGAAGGGATGTGCAGTATATGCCTATTCCTGTCTGTTTTGGCAGACAGGTGTTTCCCTTTAAGAACCTAATCCTAATCAAGCAACTGTCAGTGTTTAGCCATCTTCTGCTCCACCAGATTTCTTGCTTGTTGACTGATTTTTGGTTTACCTTTTCCCTAGCTTGTGATGCTTCAGTGTGTGCCCCTTGACACATCACCAAGGCATCTGAAGAGGCAAGATCAGCAGAGTATATCAGCACAGCTGCTCGGAAGGCATCAGGGTGGATATCGGCAGGGATGTCAAACTGAGCAGCTGGGGGTGAAGACACTTCTCTTGCATGAGCCCAGCCTGCTCCTGCCTGAAGTACACCCCATAGAGACAGCTTTGGTGGTTGGGACTGGCCTGAAGAGCATGAGGTAGGACAGTGTTCCTTCTTCTGCACTGCAAATACTCCTCCTCGCTTCTTTGTGTTGCAGCCCCTTCAGCAAAGACTTGGGCACAGAACCCAGAATCCTTGTGTTTGAGACTATCCCTTTTGGGAATGACATAAGCAAAATTCCTCATCTCACCCTTAGGAAGCAGCTGGTGTGGACTGTGCTGAGCAAAACAACACCGCATAACCAGCGAGCACTGCTGAGCACGATTCACAGCCAATGCTTTTACAACCTGCTTCTTGTTTTGGAACAGCACCTAATTGGTTTTGAAGCACTGCAAAACTAGGTCAATTTGCCAGTGGGCTTTGTAAGAGTCTTTAGCTAAATCTCTAGACTTTAGCTAGATGTTAATTTGAGCCAGACTTAGGAAAAATATATATTAATATACCCACAGTCTCACGTGAGAAACTTGTAGGCAACGATTTGGGATTCAGAGCCATCCTCCTATTCCTAAGACTAAATTCAAAGCCACTGTTTAAAAGCAAGCTTGCACATGCGGATGTCCTGATCTTTAATTAGGCAAAACTCCCACTGACATCAATAGGAGGTTGACTTGAATAAGAACTGCAGGATCAGGTCCATAATTTGATACCTGGGATTTGATTAAGCAGCTAAATTACTAGAACACTTTCCCCAGGAGTATAATTGCCTAATTAATTTTGAAAATAGCTAAGTTCAGCACTGACTATGGTGCACCTCTTGCCACATGAAATGGATGCTGTTTAAGCCAAGTTGATGGAGCTATTTGCAAGGGCCCACAGAGTTTATTTTGCAGTTAAGTAGTTCTGTTTATTTAAAGTTCAAAATTAGCCCCCATTGTGTTAAAAACGTGGTGTTTCAGAAAATATACTCTTGTGATAGACTTCCCTTGTAGTCTGGTTTGGCTGTTAGCATTGCAAATGTATTTTAAAGAGTAGTGCTCTACTGCGTCCTAATTCTTGAGTTCTGGCTGCTGTGATTTATTTGGCAGGTGGGAAAACACTGGAGGCTGGGGAAAGAGCTTCCTCTCTAACAGAAGAAGCTTTGAAAAGTTTGTTGTCTTATCAATGGTTTTATTTCTTTCTGTTTCTGGTGTCCTGACATGCCTCTGGTAGATTATATACATTAAAATTAGTGTATATTGTTTGCTTTTCCCTGGAGTTTCAGTCTAACACTGTGGGCTGTAGTTGATGCGGTTGCTGCAGAAGGACTTGCATTCACAACCAAAAGACTCTTTGCTTTGTTTTGGGGTGTTTTGGTGGTGTTTTTTCGTTGTTAACAGAGATCTTGTTATGTAAATGGAACGGAGAAATCATACATGGGCTTCCTAAGCTTAAAGAAATTGCTGAAGGAATTGAAATGCCGAGAAGGAGAAGCTGTTCTCCCTAAATATGCATGTATGCTTTATGTGTGTGCGTCTGTGTATATAGACATAATTAGACTTGTAGTTGGCATAATGCAAAGTGCCTGCTCATGCTGTTGACCGTTACCTGATAATGCACGTTCTCCCATTCTCTCTGGCTGGATTCTTAAGGCATTACCATGGGAATTTTCCCTTTCCAGGGGTTGTAACATTGCTCTAGGACTAGCTGGTTCTGTGACGTGCTTCTTGAGTGGCTGGAGTGGCCCTTATTCAAGACCTCCATCCAAGCATCTCCTGCAGAGAATGAAACCATCAGCTGTCCTCAGGGAAGTGCTCCGCTCTGCAGCAACTCATAATGGTGAGTCTTGTGTCTTTGAGCCTTGCAGGGTGATGGGATCTTGGATTTTAACATGCTTAAAGCATGGATAGGAGATGGATAGGAGCATAAATTCCAGCATATCACCATATGAAGTGGAATGCAGTCAAATTACTCTTCAGAGAGGTAGGCTTGAAGCCTTTAGCAACCATTCTGCTCTTTTTTAAGGCTGTAAGAAGACTCAAGAGGTAAAGAAGATGTTTCACAAGTAAGCAAGATGAAACTGCAGCTGCAGCCTGAAATAGGCTGAGGTCTGCAGTCTTGCTCTCTTTCAGAATGATAGCTTTTTGTTCTGTTCTGACAATGTCAGAGCCTTACTCACAATAGGGTGCAAGTCCTGTACCCTTGAAATGAGCAATTGGGTCCATGTTTTAAAAACAGGAAGGTTATCTTTCATGTTGAAACTGGGGTCTTTTGACCTTCATTTGCCAACTTTAATTTGGTGTTCAGCTCGTGTTTTGATGATTTTCTATGAGGATTATAGAAACTTTCAACTTTTCTTTCAAAAAGCAAATAGGTAACTGTTTGTCCTGCAGCCTCTTGATTTCTGCAGCTGAGGTTCTCTGAAGCATCATGATTTGGTGTCATCAGGGATGACTGTTGTTTAGAAGTGATCTGGTTTGGCATCCTCTGGGTTTTAAGTCAGATTTGGAGATCTCTAGGGTTGTTCCCCTCCCCAGCTAGTATTGAATCTCAGTAAGACTGTGGAGATGCCTCAGTTATGAAAACGTGAAAGGTAAGAAGAGAGTTCAAAGTCTGGTTATGATCCTTTAGGCTGTAATTTGCCTCCTGATACTTTGGGAAGCATCGCACCCCTTCCCTTTGTGGCACTCTGCCCTCCTCTAGTGGTGGTTGGGCCACAGAGAGCCTCTCACAGTTCCTGGCAGCGAGTCTCTGGCTTGGGGCGATGTGACTCTGGCTCTGGGACCTGGAGATAAGGAGTGGGATCTCTCAGTTCCCACTGATTCAGCTGAGTTCCTCACCTTCTGCCTTGTTTTCTTCTTTGGACAACGCCAGAAGCTCCTTGGCAGTGTGTGATACTCCGAGGAGCCAGAGAAGATGTGATGGTGGAAGTCTGACAGCTCCTATTAGCTGTACTTTTAGTCTGGGTTTCTGAAATAGGATATCAGCAAAAAACAAATATCAAGAGTTTGGGCTTTAATTTCTTCCCTCTCTTTTTTTAAATACAAACATAGGGAAAAGAGCCAAGTTTCATTTTCTTCTCAAATTTACACTCTTCTTTCTGTATCTGTGGATGCTTGAATAATCAAGAGTAACACCACAAAGGGGAGATCTCTGTGCATCTCGTTCTCCTATTGTCTTGGCTCACTTGACCCCGTTGGGGATGTGCCCTTTCATTGTATGCTGCTGTTGGGCCTGGGAGGGCAAACAAAGGGAAATGAGCTCTGTAAGTCCATGGCTTGATCAGGGACCAGCTGAATTAGCTGGACCAGCCCTTGACTCAGCGTGGCTGTGTCAGGATGCAGCTCTCATGTGCCAGGGTCCTTTGCTTGCTTTCAGTATGTGTGTTGTATGGAGGGTACAGCCAGTGGTGGGGATGCTTTCCTGAGTGACTGGGGGATGGGAACACTTGCTGGTCTTGAGGGGAGAGGAAAACTGAACTAGAACTTATGAGAGCTACTGAATCACATCCCACTACAACAAGAGGACAAGAGCTGGTTTCTCCTGTGGTCCTCTTCACTGAGCAGGAAGCAGAAAGCTGCAGTGCAGTGGCCCTCACAACAGGCTCTGCTGTTCTGCGCTATTATCCCTGTTTTACATTCAAGGAAGTAAAGATGGGTTTAATTAAGACTGTGCAGAGCAGGAATGGCAGCTCTGCATCTGGGGGACACTGCCTCCCAGTGCAATGGCCTCTTCAACACGAATAAGGAAAGACCAGCTCCAAGAGGGTGGCACATAGCATCTTTCTCTCTTAAATCCTTAATGCCCTTCCAATAGCTGCCCTGGAGTGGTTTGTTTGTCAAAGACCCCCTTTCTAGCTGGCAGTCTGTTCTCCTGCCTCTTTGTAAAACCTCAGTGCTTTCCCTAGCCAGTGAAGGCACCATTGTTTTAACAGCATAAATGTCTCTTGAGGCTTCAGCAAAGGTATATTATTTTTATTATGTAACTGTGTATATTACTTATTTTAGGTGAAATACTTGATGTGTTATGTTTTATAAGGTATGGGGAGCTGCTGGATATTGCTACTGTGCTTTCCTCTGCTTCAGCATCAGGCAGGCCAAAGGTGTCTGGGTTATCCGGTTCCTAAACTACCCCATCAGCCTCTTTGGATGTGTGGGAATTTTGGCTTTGCAGCATCAGTCTCTCTGAGGAAAGCAAAAGGGAGGTGAATGCTCCTAAAGAAGCTCCCTCTCTTTTGAATCTGTATCAATCTCAGTGAGTTCAGATCTCTGTCCTTTTCTTGGGAGAGTGGGGGGAATGTTTCAACTGAAGACTTCTAGAGCTGGGAAGTTTCCTAAGCCCCAGGCAAAACCTCAGTCTGTGTATATTCCAATCTGCTTGTCTGGAATATGTGAGGAACTTCGTTTTTATCTTAAAGCAGTTTGAGCCCCTGGAGAGAAATACAAACCTCATCCTTCTCCCTGTGAAATAAAGAGGAGCAAATATGTATTGTAGCTGCATTCTAGTGCTTTTTATACCACCTTTTACTCCGCTGTTAAACAGTTTTCAGTTTGGTTCATCCCTGGAGTGCAGAGAAAGTTGTGTTTAATTCTCTTGTGATCCCCCCTCCACACCAGGCAGTAGAATTGTCCCAAAAAGAATTAATTTATTGGAATGGGGGTTCTTTTCTAAACAATTTGCTTTGCCTTCATTGAAAACCTGTAGTGATGTACCCACGTCTCTGTTATCTGTGCTGAATGACTGACTTCCAGCCTAGTCAGGCTGTGTTTAACTTCAGTTTCTGTTAGGCTTTTGCTAGACTGGGGAGCTCTTATCACAGTTTGGTTCCCACATAGGTGTGCATGAAGGGAGGCTTTGATAAGCTAATTCAGCCAGTGGTCTGTCACTAAAATGCATCTCCACATCCTTTATTCATCTGTGTGACTGCTCTCAGCTGCCCCAAACAGCCCTCTGCCAGTTCCCTCTCCCTCACTGTGCTCTGTGGTTTGCCTTTAAATACCTTCAGGGGTGAGCCTATCTGCATGTTTGTACATCATCGAGGGCTTGGGAGGGCCTCTGGGTACCGCCTTAATAAACCTGCTCAATAATAAAGCGCAGAAGGATGCTGCTTCAACAGTATCTTGGTGTACAAGTGAAGTAATTGAGAGCAGATCCCGTTAGTCTCTCCCCTTGCATTGCCAGCTGGGGGCACAGGAGTTGCTTTTGCACTGTGGCAAAATCACTGCCGTGTTTCCTTTATAAACAGAGGGATGGTTGGAATCCGAGGCCCTTCCTTGTTGTTTTATCCCTCTGAAAAATGCTGCTGCTGCCTTCCTGCAAGCTGCGAGAGATCCCCAAAGCTTGCCAGGCAGCAAAGCTCAGGGAGCTCTCAAAGGATAGCGCTGCTGTTCCCTCTCGCCTCTTACAGTCTCTACCTTTCCTCTGTTCTCTTTTCTTTCTCTGCCAGCAAGGCGCTGTGTGCAGTCTTCTGTGAACCTTTGTGGGCCAGGTTTCTCCCGGGTGCCTTTTTTCCTCCTCAGTAGCTGCAGAAGAGGCAGTGGATCTGAAGGGGGGAGATGTGCTTTATGACTTACGACACTTTATAAAGTGCATTTTGCTGCAGGATTGACAGAGCAGGAGGCTGAAGGCTCCCAAGGCCAGGGATGCAGGGGCAGGTAGAGGATGAATCTGCCCTCGGTGACTACCCCTATGCCTTGGAGCCACCCATGGGCTGAGTGGGGACACCTCCAGTCCTTGCTTCCCTGCTCAAACTGTTCAGCAAGAGGAGGGGTGAGTGCTAGATGAGCCTAGGACCTAGCTGTGCTAAGAGCTGCTTCCAGTGCAGCAGTTCATTATCCCTCCAGAAGCCATGGGAGGGCTTCTGCATGTGAGCAGGCTCCATTATCCAGCTGTTGATCTAAAGCCAGGCTTATTTTGACAACCCCACCTCTTCCTCCATGGGCTGGCTCCTGATGGCAGGGGTGTCAGCACTCTTCCCAGTGTGAGGGAGCTGGGCTTTATTGCACATTCCCTTGGCACTCCCGGGCTCTGTTAGATACTTCAAATGGCTCTTTCCCACGGTTCTGCATTAGTCTCTGCCCC